AAAGTCTCAGGTTACAAAATCAATGTACACAAATCAGTAGCATTCCTGTATGTCAACAACAGTCAAACTGAGAACCAAATCAAAGACTCAATATCCTTTACAATAGCAACAAAGAAAATAAAATACCTAAGAATATATTTAACTAAGGACATAAAGACCTCTACAGGGAGAACCATAAAACACTGAGGAAGGAAATAGCAGAGGATGTAAACAGGTGGAAAACCACACCATGCTCATGGGTCGGCAGAATCAACATTGTTAAAATGTCTATGCTACCCAAAATGTCTATGCTACCCATTGAATCTACAGATTCAATGCAATCCCTATTAAAATATCAACATCATTTTCCACAGATCTAGAAAAAATAATTCTACACTTCGTATGGAACCAGAGAAGATCCTGTATAGCAAAATCAATCTTAAGCAAAAAGAACAAATTGGGAGGCATCAATTTACCAGACTTCAAGCTATACTACAAGCCTATAGTAACTAAAACAGCGTGGTACTGGCACAAGAACAGAGACATAGACCAACGGAACAGAACTGAGAACACAAATATAAAACCATCCCCATATAGCCATCTAATCTTTGACAAAGCAGACAAAAACATACACTGGGGGAAAGAATCCTTATTCAATAAATGGTGCTGGGAAAATTGGATAGCCACACAGAGAAGACTGAAACAGGATCCGCACCTATCGCCTCTCAGAAAAATCAACTCACAGTGGATAACAGACTTAAACCTAAGGCATGAACTATAAGAATTCTAGAAGAAAATGTTGGAAAAACTCTTATGGACATTGGCCTAAGCAAAGAATTTATGAAGAAGACCCCAAAGGCAATCATAGCAACAACAAAAATAAATAAATGGAACCTGATCAAATTAAAGAGCTTCTGCACAGCCAAGGAAACTATCATGAGAGCAAACAGACAACCTACAGAATGGGAGAAAATATTCTCATGCTACACACCTGATAAAGGGCTGATAACTAGAATCTATATAGAACTCAGGAAAATCTGCAAGAAAAAAATCACACGACTCCATCAAAATGTGGGCAAAGGACATTAACGGAAACTTTTCAAAAGAAGACAGACTAATGGCCAAAAAATATGAAAAAGTGCTCAACATCTCTAATCATCAGGGAAATGCAAATAAAAATCACAATGAGATATCACTTATCCCCAGTGAGAATGGCCTTTATCAAAAAGTCCCAAAACAATAAATGTTGGCATGGATGCAGAGAGATAGGAACACTCATAGACTGCTGCTGGGACTGCAAACTAGTACAACCTCTGTGGAAAGTAATTTGGAGATACATCAAAGAGCTAAAAATAAACTACCATTTGATCCAGCAATCCCACTACTAGGCATCTACCCAAAGGAAAACAAGACATTCTATAAAAAAGACATCTGCACTAGAATGTTTATAGCAGCATAATTCACAATTGCAAAGATGTGGAAACAACCCAAGTGCCCATCAATACATGAGTGGATTAATAAAATGTGGTATATGTACATCACGGAGTTCTACTCAGCCACAAAAACAATGGTGATATAACACCTCTTTGTGTTATCCCGGATATAGTTGGAGCCCATTCTACTAAGTGAATTATCACAAGAATGGAACATCAAGCACCACATGTACTCACCGTCAAATTGTTATTAACTGATCGACAGTTATGTGCATATATAGCAGTAACATTTATCAGGAGTTGGGCAGGTGGGATGGGGGAGGAGGGGATGGGTATATTCATACCTAATGGGTGTGGTGTTCACCGTCTGGGGGATGGACAGGCTTGAAGCTCTGACTCGGGTGGGGCAAAGGAAATATATGTAACCTAAACATTTGTATCCCCATAATATGCTGAAATAAAAAAAAATAAAAAATAAAAAAAGATATTTTCATTCAGTTATTTTCAGTACTTTTAACTTTTATGCTAGAATAAAAAGTGATTTACCCACTACAATTAGAGTAATACAGTATTTTGAATTTGTCTACGTATTTATCTTTTCCAATGTGTTTCATACTTTCTTATGCTATAATGTTGCTATTTAACATCTTTTTGCTTTAACATAAGAACTTCCTTTAGCATTTCTTACAAGGCAGGTTTAGTGGTCTTAACACTCTCAGCTTTTGAATGTCTGGGAAGGACTTTATCTTTCCTTCATTTTTGAAGAAGAGTTTTGTGAGGCATAGTATCCTTCGTCAGCAGTTTTTCTTTCAGCATTTTGAATATATCATCCCACTTCCTTCTGGCCTGCAAAGTTTCTGCTGAAAAATCCACTGATTATCTTATGTAGGTTCTATTGTATATGATAAGTAGCTTTTTTCTTTCTGCTTTCAATATTCTCCCTTTGTCCTTGACTTTTAAGGATTTGATTATAATGTGTCTAGATGTGCATTTCTTTAGGTTTATCTTATTTGGTATCATTTGGGTTTCTTGTATCTAAAGGTCCATTGCCTTCATCAGATTTGGGAAATTTTCAGCATATATACACACACACACACACATATATATATAAAGCTTTTTGGTCCTTTTCTCACTCTTCTTCTGTTACTCCCATAACATATATTAATATATTGGTCCACTAATGATTTCCCCTAATTCCCTTAAGCTTTCTTCACTCTTTTCCATTCTCTTCTTTTTGCTCCTCTGACTAAAGTATTCCCATTGACCTGTCTTCCAGTTCATTGATCCTTTATTCTGCCTGATCTAGTCTTCTGCTGAATGCCTGCAGTGAATTTTTCGGTTCCGTAATTATGGGCTTCAGCTCCATGATTTCTGTCTGGCACTTTTTACACTTTCTATTTCTTTGCTGAAATTCTTACTTTGTTCATGCATTATTGTTTTGATCTTAGTGAGCATCCTTATGAGAGTTATTTTTAATTCTCTATGAGGCAAATCTGTTTCATTAGGGTTGGTTTTGGGAGATTTATCTTATTCCTTTGTTTGGAACTTTATTCTCTGATTCTTCACTTTCCTTGACTCTATGTTCATGTCTGGGTATTAGACAAAGCACACACCTCTCTCTGTCTTTATGGACTGGCCTTATACAGGAGGAGATTCCCACCATCAGCCAGAGGTTCTGGTGGCCTGTACTAACTCCTTCTCTCTCCAAGGAAAAGGAGGCAGCTGCGGTTTTGTTTGTTCACTCTGTGCTTAGCAAGGTGGGTGGAGAGAGGCTATGGTGTCTATTAGCCCAAGCCACTGCCTCCATTCTCCCCTGGGTAGCCAGCCTGTGCCAGACTTGTCAGAGATCCAGGACTGGAGAGACAGATGCTTGTCTTTGGGCAGCCCCACAGAAGCTGGGGGAGTGGTTATACCGATCCACTCTCTCCTCCCCAGGGGGAAGCTTAGAGCTGGGATTTTCCATCTGCCCACTCTGTGAGCTCTAGCCACCAGAAGGTTCTTGACTTTTGATGGCCCCCCTGCAGTGCAAAAAGTCTCTGGCTCCCCTCAAGGTACTCCCTGGATTATTCTGGTGGTCTGCTGTTCTCAGCAGGGGATTGGGTCACTGTATCGTGTCCTTACCCAGTAACAACAAAAGGTCAAGACAGATGTCAGTGTCAGTTCATGCCAGGTCCTGTCCCGGCCTGCCATTCATTAGCCAGGCCGTCCTGCAAACATGCTTCACTCTACTTAACCTAAATTTCCTCACCTATGAAATGGAGGTGATAATACCAATAGCTCACAGAAGTGTGATAATATTAAAGAGAACCAAATATTTAGCAGAGAGGTTCTGAGTACAACTTCTGGAATGATTGTGGGCTCAAGTGCTGGCTCTTCAGCTACTTTCCACCCACCTGGGCCTTCACCCACACTGCTTCAGCATCCTCCCCTGCTGAACACTAGCAACACTGGTCCTTACTCAACAACCTGACAGTGAGGAGTGAATGAGCACACAGGTCTGCTCAGAACAGTGCTTGGTGAGCTCTCAACTGGGCAGTGATTAGCCATGCTGGCTCGGTACACAGGGGTGACTCAGACTTTGATGGACCCACAAACCTTGACTCATTTCCAATGAACAAGTAAGTACAAGGCTCTGAGGGACTCAGTCTGTGGTGCTCAACATAAGAAAGAACGAGTTTTTCTTAACCTCTGTGTCTTCAGGGGCCCAATGGGCAGGGAGGCCTGCCACCAACGCCCAGGAAGCCAGCAAAGAACAGCAGAAAACGCAAGTGCTTCAGGTCCCTCAAACACCATCTCCTACCTGAGTGACGTTTCTGTAAAGGGTTAATCCCAAATAGGCAACACTCAACTACTCTAAGAACATTATACTTCAATAAAAAGTATTTTAAAAAGGAATGTACAACTTAATGAAATAAATACTTTTTAACAGAATCTTTAAAGCAAACAAGCAAACCTCAAAGTGTCTATAGCAAGTTGGTTCAGTCTGAGGGTTCAGTTTCCTCACCTATAAAATGGGAACAGCAACCCCGCCCTCCCAGCGCTGTCATGAGATGACCAGAGTGAGAAAGAGGAGAATGCCTGTCCCAGACCCTGGCACCAACTACAGTAATGCCCAGCTATTATTTCGACATGAGAAATTCCCACCCCAAAATGTCACTGCCCAAACCTGGTTTTAGGGACAAAGTTTTGACTCTCTTCCATCAACACAGGATGTGTAAGTGTACTGAAGTAAGGAACAGGAAAGATAACTACGACATGCGTCATCACCCAAGAAGCCATTAGGCCCCCTACATATGGGACCTGCTTCTGAACTGGGCAGTTGCACACCTGAGCCTCTTGACCACACCTGCCCTCTCCTCTCCTCACAATTGGGACCCTTCATCCACACCCCTCACCTCCCACCTCCGCCGTCACCCTCCCACGTGCACTATCACCTTCCTATCTCCACCATCACCTCCCCACCTCTATCCATCACTTTTTCACCTCCACCATCACCTTCCTCTCTGCATCATCACCTCCCACCTCCTCCCATCACCTCCACACCTCATCCCCAGGCCCACTACTGAGCTCGGTCAGCGCCAGCCTTACCTCACGTTGTCATGCCTCTGGATGTAAATCTTGTGGAAAATCCTCTCAGGGGGCTTCAGGAAGTCCTCCTTCATCTCCATGGCAACGTTCCGCGGCAGCAGGCTCATGAGGAGCCGCTCCTGGACAGGAGAGAAGGGCCCGTGTCGGACGTTGGGGCCTGCTCTTGCTCACCACATCCTTCCCAGCGAGGCTGGTGGTGAAGAGCTGCCCTCAACGAGGGGCCACAGAACTGCCTCCTCATGCACAGCCAACACAAGTCCAGTCCTGCAGACCCTGCGCAGTCCCGAGAGCCTCAGTGGGCTCACACGCAGGCCTGGACTGCCACTGAACAAGTAACTTGCCCAGGAGCACTGGCCAAGCCCTGACACGGCCCCTCAAACACCTGGCCATGTCTGTGGCCTCCCTCACGCCATTCCCTGGGCCAAGGCGCTGAGTCTTGGGCAGCCCACCCCGGCACTCTCGGCTTCAGTGTCCAGCACAGCCACAGCTGAGAAAACAGCACCATCTCCAACCAGGTCCCCACCTGGCCTCTCTCCCCACCCCCGCTGCTCCAAACCCCCAAGAGGGTTTTCCCAACGGACACACAGAAACTAACTGACCTGCCAGGGCACACAGAGGGTTCCCTTGCTCTTACACAGACAAGTGAGCCAGGGGACTATGTGGCATTTTTCCTCAATCTTTGTCTACTTATTTCTCCCTTATGCATGTGGGTCACGCATTTTCTTTTCTCCGAGAGACAAGAATAAACATTTGGGGTTTTCAAAATGAGCTGTGCTACCCTGGAGAATCCCTTCCCTTTCCTAGGCCTCAGTTTCCTCATCTGGACTAAAGGCATGAGTAGAACTGGCCACTCATATTCCAGGTGGACCCTTCCTGACCTCGACCCTGCTGCTACACCCCTATGTCTGAGAATTCATGTTCCAGAAGCATGGTGGGAGGGTCCCCCACTTATCCCTCAGTCCCCCACAAGCACCCCTCCCCACTCTACTTTGGAAAGGAAAACAAAAGAGCATAGTTTAAATCCCAAGTGGAATTGGGTAGAGCATCCTACTCTTACTGACAAGTGAGCACCTGGGCTGGAGAGAGCGGGGGAGGCTCGATGCTCCTCACTGTCCCTCTCCGGGCTCCAAGCCCGTCACCCACAACCTATCGGGGTGGACACCAGCAGCTCGCCCTCAGCAGGAGCCACATGGGCACCCAGGCCTGAGACACATCCCCTTCCTGCCCGTCCCCCAGCCCAGCCCAGGCCTGCTGGAGCAGCTATTGAGTCTGGGAGCCCCTCCCAGACCACCAGCCCACCCTGCAGTGCCTGAAGGCACATCCCTGACCCAAGAGCGGCTACCATCCCATGTGACTTTCCCCAAAGAAGCACAGGTGCCCAGACGCCTTCATGCTTGGAGTCCATCAACCATGATAAAACAGCCACATAGATCCCAGAAGCCCAGAGGACCTCTGGGAAGTGGCCATGAGGGGCTCGCCCCCTCTACTGCACGTTACAGACAGCACTTCATGTTCACCGTTCATTTTATGGTGGGAGAACCGATTTAACACACTCGAGCAGTCTCCCCAGGTAAGTTATGTCCATATAAACTTTGGACGAGGAAGGCCAGGCCCCACCCTGCCTAATGCCAGGTGAAGCTGAGTTTGCTCATCCAGGTGAGGCCTACCTGGATCCTGGCCCCAGAGCACGCTGCCTGGTAGTGTGTCCTGAGCAAGGCCCCACCACAGCCCCCAAGGGGTACCCATGCAGCTCCACTGCAGCCCCATGTGGCCCCCACACAGCTCCCAGCTGGGTAGACCCCAGTTCAGAGGAAGGGATGCTGCAAGAGGCCGGTCTGGGACCACTGTCCACATTAGGTTTCATGGGGAGAGGACAAAGGAGTGTCCATGCCATGATGTGCAGGGACAGCCTCGGGGACAGAAAGGCCCCACCGCACAGGGCGTGGGAGCTCGTGCACATCTCATGTCTGGCCAAGAAGCTGTGAGGCCCCGTTCCTAGACTGAGGGGTCTCCGGAAATGAGGCCTGAGACACAGCCCACAGAAAGGGGCTGTCTGCAGGCAGCCAGCCAAGCTGGGGTGGAGGGAACTCGGGCCAGGTGCCAGCTCCGGCCACACACCAACAAACCAGGATCAGCGTCAGGAACGTGGGTGCATCAGGAAGCTCCCAGAGACCATCGCCGCCCGATGCTCAAAGGCGCTGGCCAGGCGGGAAAGCAGAAGCAGCTGCACGAACACAGAAGGCTGCCGGGAAGGACCCTAAGGAAGCTCAGTGAAGGTTCTGTACGTTCTCTGGACAGCCCCAAAGTCACGGGGAGAATCGACAGCCCCTGGCTCCTCAAGCCGACAAACCAGGTGCTGGGACTTGGGATTCAGCAGGCAGCGCCTAGGCCAGCACTGGGACAGACGCCTATGGAGACCCGTGCGGGGGTCTCAGGGTAAGGAGAGCCTAGGCGTCAGCAGCCGGCCGCCTGGCACCAAAGCCTGGTTCTGCCACTTGGGGCTGTGAGTTAAGCTGTCTCAAAGTCATCGCAGGGCATGATGATATCTGGAGAGTAAACAGGAGCGACAGGTCCAGCCCTCGGCCTCACGCGGAACCACAGCAGTCACCGCACGGCCGTCCCTCCCACCAGCACCACAGCCCATCCCTTCGCACGCCGCTCGCTTCTCCTCACATCTTTTACGTCTCTGACCTGCTCCTACGAAAATGTTAAAATCGCCCCAAAGCCAAATCGAGCAGGTAAGACCCTGCCCTCCACCCAGCACCATCTCCCGTCTTCCTTTACAGTCAATATTCTCAAAACGCCCCTCCCCGACGGCCTCTGAAATCACTGTCACTGTGGGGTCTGGCCTGAGGGTGGGTCTCAGCATTCATTGGTCTTTCCATCACCTCGACTGCCCAGCACGATTTGGAATTAGAACAGAGAACCTGAGTCGGCAACAGACCGAGGGACTGAACTGAAAAATGCGGAAGAATACCCACCTCCAGGGACCTCCAAGAATGATGGGGAAACACCCAGGGCCACAAGAGCTACTTCCAGAGGGAGGGAGAGGAAGGCTGCTGGGCAGACCCCGGCACACAAACTCCCCCCGGCACACGGTCCCCAGCAGGAGGGACTGGAGGGCTCCACGTGGACTGCTGGGCCGTGGCAAGAGGCAGCTGCAGCAGAGTCACCTGGTTGTCACCTGGCTGTCCCCAGTATCCCTGTTTCACCACTGGCACCACAAGAGAGCCCCTTATTTTCATCAGGGTTCTCGGCTACCTGGAATAAAGACCCCATTTTCCTCCCATGCAGCTAGATGTGGCCAAGGAGACATAAGAAAGGTCATGTGGGAGTTTCTGGAATATTTCTGACAGACAGCTTGTTCCTATTCCATTTCTCCCCTGCTGCTGCTGGGAATACAGTCATGATAGCCAAATCCCTATCACCTTGATTCATGAGGATAAAAGCCACACAGCAGGGACACAGGTGAGCTAGATGGAACCTCGATTGCTGAGAGTGCTTTGGATCAGACCCGCCACACCACCATCAAGTGCCCACCCTGGGATGCGTATATAAGAGAAAAAGACCTGTCTAGTTTAAGTCACTGCCACACAAAGATCCTAAGAACGGACAGTATTTCCAACCAAGGGCTCAGCATTAGCCCTGTCTATTAGATTAGTGATAGCGCCTAATGCCAACACACATTAATAACCAAAGACTAAAGTGCATAACCTTTCCTACAGAGCGCAAAACAGCCATCTGATAAGATTGAACACTCATTTCTGATTAAAAACCAGAAAAACCAAAGACAAAGTAGCTTATTCATATTATAAAGATACTACCTGAAATTCACATCCAATCTGAAACCTAACCCTAAAGCCCCGAGCATCAATAAACATTAACAGGAGGAAGAGACAATGGCATCGATAAGTTCTAACCAACAAAATCAGATAAAAAGCCAGAAATCAAAGTTATAAAAATAATTACAAATGTGGATCATATAAAGTATCCCAGTGTCCTATGGGGCTATATAAAAACCTCATTACATTTATCTTGACTATCAAAACATGACTCAAATAAAAGCACTATTCTTAATAAAAATCAGATATTTAAACGACAATTGTGATGACTCTGCCTCTGGGGAGACAGAGAAGTGTCTTTCCCTGTTCCTCCCACTAAGGGCAACTAAAACACCGTAAGACTGAAAGGTAGAGGAAAGAAGGCAGAGATCTCGAGACTGAGGAATGACATGAGGGTGAGTTCTTGCACTTTCTTTTTGCCTCATATATCCCAGATGAGTGCTGGAGAAGTGGGCCACTCAGGAACACCAATAGGCGCAGACCAAAAGAAGGACCAAGGAAAGCCACCCACTCTAGTAAAAGGACCAGGATGGGGCAGGCTTACAAGAAGAAAACTTTTAGGTAGTAACTACCCTTCTCCAGGCCAAAGACACTGAAAATCTGTGCCCAACCCCGCTCACACTAGCAAAAGCTGAGTAGAGAGGCCAGGCCTCCACTCTCCCCGGGCTGTGAAGAGTCTCCAACCAACCCACCCACTGTCAGAGGGAGCCAGGCCTTTCATCTTCACCTGCTGGTAATGAACAGCCCCCAACTCTGTGGAGTCATTGCAGACCACAGGGCTCTCCCGATCCTCCCCAGCCAGGTGCTATCAGTGGGATCCTTGGGGAGCTGGGGCTCTCATTCCTATGCAGCAGTAAGAAAGACACCCCACCCCCGTGAGTGTCAATGGAGGCCCAGTGTGGAGCCTGGACTTCTACCCCCACCTGGCAGTAAAGACACAGCAGACCCTTTCCCCTGCCAGAGTGATGTCACAGAAAACAATCTAAAACAAAAGGTCCAAACAAGACATAGAGCCTCACACATAATATCCCAAACGTCCAGGTTCCAATGGAATATCACTCATCATACCAAGAACTAAAACAAGCTCAATGAATTAACAAGACAACCACACACACCAACACCAAAAAGACAGAGATGCTAGAATAACAGGCTTTAAAGCACCCATCATAAGAATAATTCAATAATGAAGTACAAACACACTTAAAAAATATGGATGTAAAAATCTCTTATAAAGATATTAGCAATTCAATGGTTCAGTAAAAGAATTATACATCCTG